TGTATGAGATAAAATTTCAAACTCCTAACTGTTTTATTATATAGATATACTAGTTATTGTTTGTGTCTGAAGGCACAGAGTAATAAAAAATTATAAATAATAAACATATTTATATTCATATCCACAAATTAAATCACAAATATAAAAAATAGATAAAAGAATTTAAATATCGATTTGTAGTGGAGGTGAGAGATGGTGGACGACATTGGTGGTGGTAGGAGACAATGATGATTGTAGTTGGTGGCAATGACCATGGTGGTGGCAGTGAGAGGCGACGACGATGGTGGTGGTAGCAGTGGCGACGGTGGCAACGACGGTGGTGGCAGGGGCAATGGCGACAGCAACAACGATGGTGGTGGTAGCGACGGCGACAGTGGTGGTAAATAATTCCTAGAAGTACTTTTAAAAAAATCATTCCAAATACACCCTTAGGGGTCTATTTTTATTATTAAATTTAAGATGTTAATATTAACCGTTAAATTAATTTTAAAATAAAATTTAAAATAATCTCAACCGCGAATAGCAAAAGTCATTTTGTTTATCTTTTGAGATTTGAATTGTAAACTACTTTATTATATACATTATAAGAGCTACTCCAATAAAGCTTCTTCTTAGCTAGTCCAATCCTCAAATTTGCCTCCAACCAACTAAGCTATTCCTCTTGTAAGCTAACAACAGCTAGTTATTTTTTTTGTGCCATTTTTCTCATTCCACAGCCTCTCATCATATTCATTCAGAATCACAGAGGAAGGTTGGTTGTGGCGTCTTCTTCCAACACACATGCATGGACTTCTATTTCTTGGCTCCCATCTCTCTCTCTCAGTGCTCCCACTGAAACTCCACCAAAACCCCTCTAAAATTAGATCGAAACTCCCACTGAAACCGTATTGCAACTGTACAAAAAAAATACCAAAAACTCACTGAAACCCCACTATAACTACACCAAAAATCAGACCAAAAACCCCACTACAATTGTACCAAAAATAAGACCAAAAACCACAAATTGTCTCTCTTTCTCGAAGTAATTTGAAATTTCGATTTTAAAATTTAAAATTTACGAGTTATTCTTACATCATACGAATTTGTGAATTTCTCTAATTGGTGATGACGTGACATGCTTATTTTACATTTTAATTATTAATAGTTGAAATAATTAATTAAAATAAAAAATGTTATTGGAGTGAATTAGTAGAAATTGCTCTTTAAAATAACTAGTGTAATAAAAAAATATATATTTTGACTAGCTATTTTAGCTAGTATCCTTAGTTGCTCTAATACCCTTTAAATTATTGGAAGCAAGTAAAAATAAGGTGAAAAAGTTAGTTAAAATAAACGTTATTATAAATAACTTGTAAAAATAACTTTTTAAAATAAAAAATATAATATTTAAATATAGTTTGACTAACTAAAATAGAGAGTTGGGTTGATGAAAGGTCGATTATTCATTTTTGGATGTTGATTTATTTATTTGTTTTGATAATAAATATTGACGTAGGGTTATTGGCGGATTACTATTGGTGCCTCGTTTTTGGATGCCTATATTTTTCTCCGTATAGGCAAACCACCGCCCCCTAGCGCTCACCCTTGCTGGGCACGAAGGGCTTTACTCCAAGACTTCTCTCTTTCTCTCACACACACAGCGGTGGTGGAGTTTGAAAGATTCGGACCGAACTCAACCAGCGATCACAGTTTCTATCAAATTGTTACAAATCAAAATCAAGATTCAAAGATTAAATGGGGAAACAGAAAGGAGAAGCAGCAAGAAGCAAGGCTCGTCCCTCCAGCAGCAGGTTATCTCTGTTTCTGTCTCTGTCTCTCTCTCTCTCTATATATATATACACACACACACATACATACTGATTTTCGCCGTTGCCTTTTGGTCAACTTTATATCTGAACCGCTAAATTGGATTGTTTGGCAGTCTTGCTGCTTCGCTGTTGCCGTCAGGTACAGCAGGTGTTGGATTCGGAGGCTATGTTGGCAGTTCACGAATTGATTCTTCTCTCCCAAACGAAGACACCGTTACTTTTTTGGTAATCTTTTTAAATATTTTCTATTGGATGGAGAAAGTTATAATGTTTGGTTCTGCAATGTACATGCTTATAGAAAACTGATATTGTAAAGACTTTGCAATTTGTGGCATGGTGAATCAGTGTGAAGGCCTTTGGTTGGATTTTCAATCAAATTGAAGTTAATCTTTATGAGAGTCTTATTTCATTTAAACACTTTTACATTCAGTGAAACTAGGGTGGGGTGCTAAATATGTTTTGTCCTGAAGATGAGTCAAGGTTCTCTTTCGTCATTAAGTGCAATGGGGAGGCTGAATCATAATGTATATGTGAAGGTTAATCTGAATATGTTTTTCTCTGTTTTGACTATGCAGGATATAGATGGTGAAGTTGCACAACACTTGAAGAGGCTTTCAAGGAAGGATCCCACCACCAAGGTAATGTTTTAATAACGACTGTAGAAAACTCTTCTACTTTTCACTCTTTGTTTACTTTTGTCTTTGATTATACAGAGCTTTGGTCATTTGGTGGGACTGTAAATGGGTTAGTTTGTATGCAGGTGCTGAACATTGCATCCAATTTCGCTTGTAACATTTTGATCTTAAATACTAGTATGGGGGATTGTTATGGACTCTGGTGCTATTTATAATATAATTTAATCTAAAGTTGACATCCAGGCCACTGGTTCAATATTTAAAATTCGGCCTAATAACTTTGGGGCTTGTTTGGATGGATTTTTGGGAAGGGTTTGGATTGGCTTTCCTAAACCATTCCAAATCTAAACCCCTCTTTACAAAACTTCTCTTTACAAAGACGAGATTCAACATTAAAGTCAATCTATACCCATGTTTGGTATGCAACACATATACATATAGGACTCACGGATATATCATAATTATTAACAACTATTTATCTTGTAAATGACTATTTTGCCCCTTAATCAATCCAATTCATACCCATTTTAAGGGGTACAATTGTCTTTTGCATCTTTAACCTCTTAACTCATCTTTCCAAACCCACCCTCCCTAGATTTGATGAAACTCATGATCATGAGTTTAATATCCGAGCCAGCTACGGACCGGGTTTGAGAATGCGGGATTGAATTTTTAATCTAAACATGAGGTTTAAAAGTCCTTTGGACTATTTTTCCCAAACCCTGGACACCAATGCCCCCAAACTCACACAACAAACAGGCCCTTGAGGTGTTGAGCTAGAACTTGAGACAACTATTTTGTGAAAAATAATGCCAAAGAGTAGGTGTGCACTCAATCTAGAACTCCCATACTCCATTAATAATGTATGTTTTAGTAACTCTTTATGGGAGAATGTAATAAATATATTGTTAAAAAGGATTATGAAGTGAAGGTGGCTACGGGCATTTGACATTCTGGACAGTTGCCTCTTTAGAGGGGAAATGTTTGTAGAGAAAAGTTGTCTAATACATTGTCTCAAGCTCGAAGGTTGCCTACACGAAAGAGAGGCGACTCAAGGAAAAAAGGAAAGAGGGGGTGGGGTTGCTCTCTCTTGAAAAATTGGTCTTGATTTGCTTTGTCCCATAGTTCTAGCCTTGAGTAGAGTTCAACAAGTTTATTTTAGGCCTTGAGCCAAAAGAAAGCTTCAAGGCTACTATACTAAGTCCCCTTTTTATAGTGCTGTTGGGCTCTCACTCCTGAGCTGTGGAACCAACAGGTTGGATGGGCCTTCCACAATGTCTGGCACCTTGTGACAGCCAGGATGGTGTCTCCCAACCCTACCTCTTCCCCAAGATTTGGTAATTTCCATTTATCTTTTTTTTTTTTTGGGCATCAAGACCTTCCTTGAACAATGCCCTCTACCTTACTCAATATGTTGGCAATCCTTATTTGCTGAGGTTGAATAACTTAAAGAAGTTAACAGTGCAAAGTAGATTTAATAATGACTAATTGCTTACGTTACGTGGATTAGATTAAAAATCAAATTGACCTTGTGATGGTAGTGAGAAAGTGTCAAATGAACTGTATAGTTTGCTTCAATATGTTTCATTTAGGACTTACTAAATACTAACTACTACTATAATAGTAGCACACAGTAACACTGCATTCTCTGGCCATCTTGCGGTAAAATTCTAGCTTTGCCCTTGTCTCCTCTTTTGGCTAGTGGTATCCTTGGGAGAGTGAATGCTTCATTTGCCATTAAGTAGGTTAAGGTCGAGGATCGAAATCTCGTTTCATTTTGGACGAAGCTACAAAAATGTTTAGGTCTCGGTGAAAATCGAAACAAACTTGTGATTGGAAATCAAAATGCTTCAAGAATCTCTCTAAATGTTTCAAGATGTTTCGGTATGCTTCATAATTGAAATTTTGTGTTTTTTTTTTCTATTTCCATCATGTTTTTCTAATGCTTTGGAAATATTCCCTCACATTTTCTTTTTAATAAAAAAATATGCACTTAAACGAAATTTTATTTGTTGGTTAAGGTAAGCATCTTCCCATGTGATCCTTGGTGATGTAAATGCTTTTGATGTACCCAAAGCCTGGTCTTACTGTCTTGCAGTAGTGTTTTCCTAGATCAAAATTCTGGTGTCATCATGAGACCTTGATGTGTATATTCAATGGTTGAGGATTGGGACCCTGGTGGTTTTGTTCTCTTCATAACATTTGTTTCAGGCTGTTGAATTAGTTTGTCAAGATTTAGTTTTTTGGTCGGTACAAAAATTATTTCAGGAATGTAAAAAAGTATGTTTTTGTTGTCACTTGATGTTATGACACATGATTCTATTGATTCAATATTACCTTTGCAAAGGTTTCATAAGTTGAGGCAATGATGCGTGGAGACACAAATGTGCTATATAGTATAACTTGTAAATCTTTTGAAACGTGTAATAAATATGTTGTACTATGATCGTCTGTTGAAGATATGAATTGATGGATTATTTAATGCAATAGTCAAAATTCGGTTTAACAAATGTGAGGCCATTATGACAAAAATGGCAAAGTTTCAGTTTTTTTTATCAAGTTTACCCCTCCCAGCATCCCACATTGGGAGATCAACACTGGGTAATGTTCTTGTGAGTTGATGGGCCCTATTTATCACTTTTACCTTTTGATTAAGGATTAATTACTTTTATTCATGCCTATAAACTTTTCCTCACATTTTTTAATTTTTGCACTTTTGGTTGCTTGAATGTTGGCTTGACATTTGGACTTTGGACCTCTTTAGTTTCTTTTAATGCTTTTGACTTGCTTCCGTTGTATATCCATCTCCATAAATATTAAGTTGTCGGAACTTTGTCGACCCATCCTCAAGATGTATAAATTGCATGTATTTGCCTTCCATATACCTTGAAAAAGCTCATTTACTTTTGCTTCTTCTACAGCTTAAAGCTTTGAGCTCTTTGTCTCAACTGCTCAAGCAAAAATCTGCAAAGGAAATAGCACCAATCATTCCACAATGGGTACGCCTAATTCCACTTAAATTAAATGTTCTTTAATAAATATATGTTATATTTTGGGTTCTTGCTGTTGCTTATGTGTCAAAATCTTATGTGGGTTCTTGCTGTTGCATTTTGGATTTCTGTTGTTACAACATGATTTTGTTTGCATTTACATTGTGTGTGTGTGTTAGGTTGGGGGAGGGAGGAAGTTGGGTTAGTGATGAGGAGAATAGTTGGAGAACAGTGAGAAATCATGGTGAGTGAAGATGCCAGCTAGCTGGGCTGAGACCGTTGGTAGACAGTTAGAGCGACTTGGGATCAGCTGCTTTTTGTTCTGACGATCATAGGTGGAGAGAATGATATGATGTTGTCTGGCTCAGCCTTTGACAAAAAGGAAAGGTTATGGTGATTCATTTTATGAGTATAAAACATTAATTATTCAATTTAGCATTGACTTAGTTGTGTCAACAGGTTTCCTTGGCATCACCAGGAAAACTGATTGGTGGTCTTAAATAACATTGTATGAATGAGCTAAGTTGTATTGGTGGTGGTGGAAATGAGGATTTGGTGCGAGGAAACTGTGTCTGGGACACTGAAGTTGGAAGGAGGAACTCCAAAATCAGTATAACTTGGAAGTTGTCCTTGATATCATGCAACTTTACCTTCTATTGTCTTATTAGGATCATGTGTGACTTGTATGTGTTGGTAGATCATTATTGCGAGTTATTTAATAGAGTTGCTTCTTGTGAATCCTTTACTCGAATAGGACACTGATACTTCAAAAGGAGAAAAAAGGTGGAATACCCTATTTTTTTCTGAAAATTCACATGATTTCATTTTGACTAGTGGATTAAATAAGTTGGACAGAGTTGTACTGGATTAGGTCTCTGCTAACTTCCATCTGTTTTCAAATGTGGGATTCTTGACGTCTGTTCTTCTTTACTTTGTGATCAATGGTTACACTTAATAGCAGTGTGCTAAAACTGAATTATATAGATGAGGGGCCCCGAACTGGGAAATCAAATAAAGCTTGGTGGGCCTTGAATTGGGAACCTTTCTGTTTGTGCCATTTGGCAAGAAGTCATTCTGTAGTTAGTGGAACAAAAATGATGCACACCGGTATATCAAGTATTATTGACTGAGGATAGAAATCATCACTTTAAAACGGTTCTCTAACATTTATTATTTTTCTACACATATTGACAACTGGTTTTTAACTTGTCAGGCTGTAAATTGTTTTAGAAATTAGCTTCTTTGTTTTGGACAAGAGTAGCAAGCATCATTGTTTGCATATGGCTATACTGTAATCACTGAAGCATGGATTATTTCCTATGCTAGCTAAGATTTTCTGCTTTTTGATGTTTTACAATGTCAGTGATTGGTGACTTAGAGTACCCTGCTTTTTTCTGGTTTAGGCATTTGAATACAAGAAGCTGTTGCTGGATTACAACCGAGAGGTTCGAAGAACTACACATGACACCATGACTGATCTTGTCAGCGTTGTTCGGTTTGTGCTTATTAGTACTATAACAATGCATCCTTATTCCTGTTGCCCCGATGTACATGACAAACTGGTCATATAGTGGTTGGGAAGGATAACTCCTCTCTCTGTATGCCTTGATTAATATCTGGCTTAACTTCATGCAGATATGTCACGGTGGTTTGCTTGTGTGCATGTTTTGTTGAATATCTGGGTCCTTATCCTGTGAGTGAATAATGTGCTTAATAATAAAATTAGGTTTTGTGGATGCCATTTGTGATGGCATCTCTACACTGCTCGTAAAACAATAGCTGACTTCTTTCACTTGCATATGAAGACACATTTGTTTTAGCTGATTAACTTCTACACTATTTCATCATACTTGGTAAATAACAAATATTATTTTTAGGCAAATGTGCCTTTCTCATTATTTAATTTTCTTTGGGAATGCATCTTTCTTATTATTTTTATTTCAGGAGAAGTTGCCTGTCTGGTAGTCTGTGAAACATGGATACTCTGTGTAGGTCAATGTATCCATATTGGATACCGTGTGAGATATGATATTTGTCGGATAGTCGAGAATAAGCATCAAATACACATTTGACATATCCAAAAATTAATAATTTATCCATTTATTTTGGATACATATTGGATACTTATTACACGGACACGATACTCGGGTATGGGTATAGGGTATTTAAGATGAATATACTACGGATATAGAAGTGAATACGCATAACAATTTGTGTAAATTTTAAATTTTACCTTTTTCTCTGAAATTCAAATACCATGATGCAAAAAGAAAAATCTAGATGGCTTTGAAAATATGTTCGTATTTTTTAAGCATTATCTACTATCACATATCGAAATGACATAAAATACTTTAAATATTTGTTTTGATTTCTTAAATTAGACTTGTTCACTTTGTGGTTATATTATGATGAGACGATCTATGCTCACGTGAAAGTAAAAATTTCTTATATTACATCATAGTAAAAATATAAAATATATTTATTGTAGGTGTATCTCGGCCATATCTGTATCCAATTTTTTTAAATTTTGCGGTATCTCCATGTCTTTATTGTATCGCATTCATATTTTGTATCCATATCCATGCTTTCTAGTTTGTAATGTTTATATTTTAGAATCTTTTATTTGAGTACTTGTTGCTTTATTTGCTTGTAGATGTTCAACGTGTTTACTCCCAAATTTTTTTATAGGGAGCAAAATATAAATTTGTAAAGCATCAATCTTCTGTTGGACCCGGGCTTAAGGGCCAGATTTTCTCTGGCTTCTGAGTTCAATTACTGTCAAGTTTCTTAAATTTATTTTAGCAACTTGTGAGTAGATTTAGTTGTCAATTACTCAAATAAAGCATAGTTAACCTCCTCTTTCCTTTCTCTTCTCTTGGCTTCATGATTAAATAATCTTTTTCCCAATAGCATAAAATGATTTAAATATCAATATCTTTGCTTTAATTCCTTGCATAATATAAGCATGCAAAGCACACATGGAAAACTTTGATGTGAGCCCTGCTGCAGGGAGATGATTTCGTAGATTGGGGTCTCTTGTCTCTGTGTATTGATTAAGATCATCATTGTCAAGTTTAATTAATGTTTACATTTCTTCTAGTAACCTTATGAACATGAATGGGTACATAATGGAATTGCTTGAGCTACTTTTGCTTTGTTAGATTTATAAGATTTTCACAATCTTCCATGGTAATTATATGCAGCGTGCAGATTCACCCTGTTTAGATTGGAAATTCACTGCATATTTGCCTACGTTTTTCTTCATTTTCTTTCCCTGTTTTTCCACAGAAGAGACTTAGCACCACATTTGAAGTCTTTGATGGGACCGTGGTGGTTTTCTCAGTTTGATTCAGTTTATGAAGTTTCCCAAGCTGCAAAACGATCATTTCAGGTATGAAAAATATATTTTCTCTTCAGCTATAAAAAGATGCTTGAGTTTTTGGCACTCGGGGGTAGCATGTTGTCTTTATGCAACAGAAAGGGCCTTCCCTGGGCAAGACTGCAATGACCTATTGGATTGAACAACTAATAAGTAGTAGGGACCAGACTGAAGTAAAGGATATAGGGAATTTTACTTATTGACTCTTAGGCAATATGGCCGTATTAGTTGTTGTGAATTTTGTTGACGAATTATCTATCTTCTTGGTTTCGTTATCAGTAGGGATATCCCTAGATCTTGTGGAAGTTATGCTTCATGTGGTTAGATGGAATAGCAGCGGAAAAAGGCAAAAACCAATAGAAATCAGGAAATGATAGCCTTTATTACTAGCCCAAAATCAACCAAAAACCAAGAAGCATGATAAACACTCCAGCTGGTCTATGACCTCTATTGAGCCACAAAAATATACATAGTTTTGTGCATATATTCGCATATTCTTTTTTGCTTGTATTCTTAGAGCCAGTGGTGATCTCACTTTCGAAAGAGTCTCTTGACGTGGCGCTATACACCTAGCTCCATAGCGGAGCTAGTCACTGGCTACAGGGTGACTGACCCACTAGATTGGAGGCGTTGGGAATTTGATGTAAATAGGACCAACGACAATGAAAGAGGAAGAGTAGGAGCTAATTTCGAATGATTATGAGATAGATTTGGCTCTATGTGAATGAGACAAAGCCAAGAGGGGAAAACACTTAGACAATTCTCTTTGAGTACGGAAAGTTTGCCGGTAGGAATTCCTCAAGACGTATTACGGTTTTTCACCGAGGGGGTGGATTGAAGCGATTGCAGCGAAGAATTGATTTGAAATGAAGCACTTTCTCTATGGGCATTGTAGAAAGGATAGAATATGACCCTAATCGTTCTTTTTGAATCGCTCTAGTACAATGGATTGAGGGGTTGCAGTTAGGCCGCCAGAGGAAATGCAATAGAAGAGTTCGCTCCGCTGTGTAAGATCCTCGAACCTATCACGACCACCATCCGCGGTCCATTTTTGTTCTCTTCCCTGCCCAGAAAGGTGGATCAAAGAAAGATAGCGTAACCTTGTCTACCCTACCCCTCTTCTGGTTGTACCATTACCAATCGCGGGTAACCCTTGGTCCGGCCGCCCCCTGACATAAGAAGAATGATTATCCTTATGACCAAACAAGGACTAGCTTACTTCTTTCTTGAGCGATAGTTCCACGATCCTGGCCAGCAACTTGTTGGGAGTAGGGGCATCAAAGCTTGTCCAACATAGTAACGGGGCTTGGAAATAGAGGGTTTTTTTGAGGGAGATCAAGTTTTCAGGTTGGATTGTTTAGATCAAATAGGACTAGTTGGTTAGATAGTGGTGGTGAAATCTAACCTTTGCCCATTCCCTTCTATTGTGCCTATCTATTATGAAGTAGGGCCCTCGAACCCCACTTATTCCGACACCCTGGTACTAGAGTAGGTAAGCTTGTTAACTTCGATTAGGTATCTTTCAAAAGGCAAGTCAAAGGCCCCGGTAACTCCGATGCCATTCAATGAGGTAGCCCCGAAAAGCCAGATTGTCTTTCTGAACCATACTAGTTTGCTCTTCGAGTTGCTAGTAGGAATGTTCGTAGAGTCCCTATTAGTTATGTTTATTATTTGAGCATATGAATTGTGTTTTTCTTTTAGGATCAACTAGTCATTTTCAATATATGTAAGTTATGTCCAACTTCCGAAGATTAATTGAAATTTTTTTGCAGACACCGACTCCTTAAAATGTTGAAAATATTTTCCTCAAAATTTATTATGCCAAAAACCAATGGAGCACAAATGTTTTCAAACTAATGGTGAATCACGTTGTGCATGTATCTTTCATAAGAATGAATAATGAAGCGAAACAAACTCCTTGCATACCATGTCTGGATAACTAAGTAGAATTGCACCGCAAACCTATTGCATTTACCTGGAAGTTGTGTCAGTTGTTGGCAATCAATTTGTCGGCATCAAGCTCCCAAATTAATCAATTTTTTGCGACTCTAGTGACTTGCAGAAATCCTACTTCTTGTTCAAGGCCAAGGATTAATCCTAAGAAACTCAAAAATATAAAAAGCAAACAACTTGCAGCCAACGCAAGGAATTTAATTAGTCCATGAACAGTCACATCTGTGGATGAATCAATTAACAAATTCAAAAAAATCTTGGAGAATTTATGAGGACATTAACATTTAAACCGACCTTTCATATTTGTGCATGAGTAGTGAGTGTTGGTCAAAGGAGACATTGTTTAACTTTGCAAAAGCCACCTATTATTCAGTTTTTATGGGTAATCTGGTTTTCACGTAGTTTTGGAGTGCACTAATGACAAGAGGGGGAGCGCTTCCAAATATTTTACATGTCCTGCAATTTCATGGAATTTTCCATATTCATTTTTTCAAATGTCGTATCTGTTGAACTGTAGTTACTTGCGAAAATGGATTGCTCATTGTGGCCATTCCTAAAAGTTGCACACTGTTCCTTCTTGTTAGATCATTTCTAAACAAGAAAACTAGTTGATAACTACCTTTTGATTATGGAATATGGATCTATGTATATAGTTCTCCAATTTGGTTTGATTCATTATTAGGTTATGTGAAAATTAACCGAGTTGGTTTGAAAACAGTATTGTTTTTTGCTTTATCATATGCAGTCTTATATCTCTTCATAAGTTTATGAGTTTACTACACAAGCGGAACATAAACACCGTTATCCATATTGTTTCTTGGCTTAGGCTTCCCGAACGGCCTCTAGTAAAATTGTGCAGAACGTAATGCTTTATACACTAGTAATGTAAAGCTTATAAAAACAAATTCTTGGCCTTAAGTTGTGCTTCTGGGCCATGGTTGGCTCCAACCAACTTCTGGCCCTTAAACACAGGAAGTGCTGTCCCTTTGAAAGACTGCCTATTTCTCTCTCATCAACATACCTTTCTAGATGCATATGAAATCTTCCAGAGACTTCAGCATCACCCACTCTGTCCAAAACAAGGCAAACAATGACCACCACAACCATTCATATGCCATGTCACAGTGATTATGGCTAATTTAGTTCTACAATAGTTTAACATTCTCTTCCTTTGATTTCTGATTAATTTGTATTCTACAAAATTGTTGTATTCCTGTGTGGGATGTTGTATTGGCGTCATTTCAGCATATTGATATTTTTTTAGTTTTCCCTGTCATTTGTACATGTTGAAGAGTGTTGTGTGTTTTGTTAACATGCATGAGCAGTAATGCTAGTAATTTTTGAGATTTGTTTTTCTCAAGTTTGTTAACATCCTGTGTATCCTGATTGTTCATCATTTTTCATTTTATTAACAAGTAATTTCCCCTGTTGCCGGGCTATGCTTCATTGGATTTGTGGAACAACTGAATAGGCAAAGGTTGTGTTCAGTGTGGTCTATGTTGTTGTTCAATTGTGAACAGGTAGCCTTTCCAGCACCGGATAAGAGACTTGAGGCCTTAATTTTATGTGTCAATGAGATTTTCATGTATTTGGACGAAAACTTAAAGCTCACGCCGCAGAGCATGTTAGATAAAGCGGCTGCGTTGGATGAATTAGAAGAGATGCATCGGCAGGTATTCATTCATGGTGTACTTTATATTCAGGATCAATATTCATATAGTTCTATCATCATTCTTCACTATCTTTGTTTGTTATTATGTAGCTTACACAGAAACCTTTTATAAGTTGCAGTTGAATTGTGTCTCTCTGCACTTGCATTGTAGGCGCCTTATAACTTAACATGTTGCATTCATGAAGACAGTGTTCGTAATATTTTGGTTTGTTGTGAATAAAGATCTAGTAATTGAAAACAAATGTTCATTTTTTAGGGTTGTGGGGTGGTGAGTAGAAGGGAATCTGAGGGAAGGGTTTTGACACTTCTGGGGCAGTGGGATCTCCTTGCTGCATAGTTTGAATCAGTTTCCATACAGAATGCTTGTATCCGAGAGACTAAGTTTTATATTCATAGGATACACATGACAAGGATAGCTTGTCGAAGTCTGTTGATAAGATCTGCACTGCAGCTGACAAGTTAGTTCCCAACTCTTTTTGTTATGGCCCCTGGGGGGAGAAATCGTAATCCTAGGATGTAGAGATGCTGATAAATTCTCTCTTTGTCCAAGCCAGCATGGCTTCTCTCTATGTAGGGGTCATTGGATGCATTGACGTGACATAAGAGTTCCCAAAATAATGTTCTTAATATTGACTAATTCGTCTAGGAATTTGAATTTTCGGGATAAAATGGTTTGGGATGTTGTGGTCTTCTTGAAGAGGGTCATTTGGACAAGAAGCTCATTAGATCAGCCTTTAAATTGTATCCCACAGTATACATGTATACATCCCTGATGGTGGTTCCAAGTGTCGTGAATTTTTAAGGAAACTTATATTTTGGTGAATCCATGGACATGCATTTTGATGGTCAAGAAAGATGTGTTTTTCTGAACATCATGTCAATATGATCTGAGATTTTTGCATCTTCTCTTGTCACTGTGAGTAGTCTAGTGACCGATAATTCCAGTTTTGAAGCTTGGTTTTGTCAATAGAAATCTCTTTGCTTGGTGTCCAAGATTTGATGAATGACACAAATGATTTTGTGTGGGGAGAAGCATTCATAGGAAGAGATGATGAGCAGGCAACTTGCCCACTTCTTGATGTGCCCCCTACCCACTCTCTAAACCAAAATAAAAAAGGTGAAAAGTGTCTTCTTGATGTTTCCAGTTAAAAGGGATAAAAATAACGGGGCAAACCTACCCAGTTTTTCGAAGTAAAACACTGATTTATGCAGCCTTGCCTTCCATTTGCAGTCAATTCATGGACTGCTTGGTTAAAATTACCATTTTTTTTGGCTTTAACAGACTTGCAATGTGGGATTCAGCTGAATAGCCACGAGTCGAAAATTCACAAATTTGTCTATTGGTTGGAATGGTTTTTTTTTTTTTGTTTTTTAAGTGTCATGCATCATTTCACTGAAATTCGGTTGGGCTTTCATAATTGCTTGTAAATTTGGAATAGTAGATCTAATATTTTTTTTTCATTACTATATCTTTTAAATAGCACACTGCAATGTTTCAGTAATGGTACAATCTGTCTTGTTGTGTGTGCGTGCGTCAATAATTCCTTTTCATGCACTTGTCTTACCATGGTCCTCATTCCTAAAGTTGTGTTTTTGGTTTCCTTGGTTGCAGGTGATTTCTTCATCACTACTGGCATTAGCCACCCTTCTTGATATTTTGGTGTCCCTGCAATCTGAAAGGCCAGGTTATGAAAACGTAACAGCTGAACCAAAACATGCTCCAAAAGCTAAGGCAGTGGCTATTTCTTATGCAGAAAAGTTGTTTTCCACCCATAAATATTTCTGGATTTTCTGAAGTCTAAAAGCTCTGCTATCCGGTCAGCTGCATATTCGGTGCTTAGGAGCATTATTAAAAACATTCCTCATGCTTTTAAAGAAGGGAATATGAAAACTCTTGCCCCTGCAATACTTGGTGCTTTCCAAGAAAAGGATCCAACTTGCCATTCGTCAATGTGGGATACATTTTTACTATTTTCCAAAACATTTCCAGACAGTTGGACGATCTTGAATGTTCAGAAAACCCTGCTACACCGTTTCTGGCATTTTCTTAAGAATGGGTGCTTTGGATCCCAACAAGTTTCTTATCCAGCTCTGGTTCTATTCTTAGATGCTGTGCCCCCTAAAGCAATAGTAAGAGAGAAGTTCTTCCTTGAATTTTTCCAGAACCTGTGGGCAGGAAGAAACTCGTCCTATTCCTTAAATGCAGATCGACTAGCATTTTTCCTTGCTCTGAATGAGTGTTTCCTTTGGGTACTAAAAATACTTCAAGGTGAGTTCATTGGGCTGTTCTTTTTCATTATTATGGCAGATTATATTCCATTGATTTTGTTGTGTGTAGTATATCTCCTGCATTCTTTAGGTATTTTTTTTATCCTCTTTTTTTTTTTCATGCTATAATGAATTTTCTCTGCTTTTGATTCTCGTTTTGATCCTCTTTGATGTCAGATATGGTGATGAAGTAGATTCCATGTATAATTTCCAACGTACTTTTATTGATGAGATTCTTATAAAGCGCTTGTGGAACGAGTACCTGCTGTTTGTGAGCTCAAAAAATCAGACCAGAGTCTTCCCTGGGTGTTCCCCGGATCTATCCGAGGGAAGCTCTCAACCTTTGCACAAGGAAACAATGGAAGCACTCGATCACAAGAATGCAATGGGTTACATGCAAGATTTGGGGAAATGCATTGTTGAAATACTTTCGGGCATTCATTCTGTGGAACATAATTTGCTCTTGGTTTTCTGTTCATCATTTCAAGAGAACTGCCTTGATATATTTCAGCGAATGGAGAGTACAGAAAAACTTAATGAGAATGTAGAACGGTTCATCAAATTTTTGTTTTTATTGGATCAACATGCGGTGCAAAAAGGTGAAACATGGCCCTTGGTTGATTTAGTGGGACCAGCGTTGGCGAAGTCTTTCCCATTGATTAAAACCCTTGTAAGTTACTTTTTTGAGTATTTAAAAAATTCTTCTCAGGGTTTACATTGTGGCAAATGCATTGCACTGTACTAATTGTTTTTTATTATTATGATTTCTTTAAACTGGTAGTTCCACTATTTATTTTGGAGCAATGAAAAGTAGTAGATCAATAGTCTTTATACCTGCAGCTGATGACCAAGCATTATGTAACGGTTCGATGAAGTAGTGTGCTTAGGTTTGCTAGTTGAGTTCTTTTTTTTTTTTTGGTCTCTTAGATTCATTATTGTATTGGATCTTTTTGACATCAGGACTCACCAGATTCTGTGAGATTTATAGTGGCTGCAGTCTCCATATTTGGACCACGCAAGATAATTGGAGAATTCATTTGCAAGGAGTTCAAAATTGAGCATTTTATTGAATGTTTTAAGGAAATATTTATCCCTTGGTGCTTGCAAAAGAATAGCTCCTCCAACGGTGCTCGAGTGGAACTCTTGCTTGCATTAATTTGTGATGAATCCTTTTCAGAACAGTGGGACAGTGTCATTGCACATGCAGTGAAGGTAGACGATGTTGTAGCTGGTGCTAGGACTCTGGAGCCCGACTGCATATCTGTGTTGGCAATGCTCATTGAGAAAGCAAGAGAGGAAATTCGAAAGAGGAAGGTAGACATGGATTTAGATCATCGGCAAGGATCCCATTCAGAGCACTGGCATCATGAGCTTCTAGATTCGGCTGCTGCTTCTGTTGCCCGTTCTTTTCCGCCATTTGAGATTTCTGATGCTAATTTTTTGCGGTAGGTAAAGGGATATGTTCATCATTTGTAACGTTGCATGCAGGAAACAACATCTTGATTCGTTGGACAGTATATTGTTAATTCAACTACTCCCCTCCCCCCCCCCCGCCTCTCCAACAAAAAAAAAACTACCCAACAACCCACCAAAAAAAACATAAATCCAAAAAAAAAAAAAATAAAAAAAACAAATCCATTTGGTTTGCTTGATTGAAAGAAACCATTATTCTAGCTACGAGAAAACTTAAGGTGTTGAATTTTGAACTAGAATTATACTTTGAAATTAGTCATATAAAATTAGCTTGGAATAATATAGGTCCTTTCTTTCTTCATGGGTTTGAAGCAATTAATAAACGTTGCAGTTGAAATGTTTCTTTTCATAGGTCTTTAGAAATTGTTCAAAATTTATTGTATGATCGAGAACATATTTTTTTTGATACTTTTAAGACAAGGTTATATGTAAATAACCTCTCTACATGTTGGGGTAACTATTAGAGCTAAGAAGCATGGACACGACACGGACACGTCGACGCGACATTTCTCAAAAAAGTAAGACATAGACACGTTGAGGACACGCTATAAAAAAATTATATTTTATATATAGCATTATATAATTTATTACAAATATAGTGATAATGATATACAATTCATAAAAGATTAAATATTTTATGATAAGTAAATTTAATGTCTAGTCATATTTGTGAATTTTTAGACTAAAACATCCTCGTAATAGTCAGTAATCATCAATTTTTTTTGTAGATAATGTGTACCTAATATATAATTTAAATAATTGCTTTCATTTTCTCAATTCATATTTTTTAAAATTTTTATGCAACTTTTATTTTTATTATTATATTTGGAGTACGATTTTAACATGTCTAGTATTAATAATTATATGTTCTAAAATTTTTAAGTTTTGTTAATCACATTTCAATACATGTCTATTGTTTAGTAGTAGACACGTTCTAAAGAAATGTCGGACATTTCACAAAAAAAGTGTCCGATACGTATTCGAAATTAAAAATTTATAATTTAATTATGGACACGGAAAAAAGAGTATCAAACACGTGTCCGAGAGTATCCAAAGAGTATCGGTGTCCAACACGGATACGTCACCTTCTCGAGAGTGTTCGTGCTTCATAGTATTAGAGTATTACTTTCCTTTTATTTTGTTTTCTATAATGTTACTTTCCTTTTATATTGCTTTCCTATTACTTTTTATTTTTCTAATATTGTAATAGTCTGCAATATCATTCTAATATAAATAGATGATCGAGTGTTGGTAACACACCCTACACAGAATATGATTTTATAATCTCTTTCTTCTCTGTACTTCTTCTTCTCTTTATTTTCCTAAACCTTAATATTTAATTATTCAATTTCTAACTTGGTACTAGAACAAGATATTTGGGTGAGTAGGGTCCTAGGTGAGGCACACTTGTCTAGGGGTTGGTCAGTCCTAAATACATCTAGTTATAGTTGTTTCTATGTTCGCCAAGTGTTGTTATCATTGTTTTTGGCTTGGTTTAGTGTTATTTCAGTGTTTTCAAGCTCAATTTGGCGTTGGTCTAGTGGTCTTCATCTCAATTCATTATTTTCAACTTAGTTTATTGTCGGCTCAGTGGTTTTTGGACCAGTTGGTGTTTATTTCCTATTTTTCTTCTCGATTCAGTGTCGGTTTAGTGTTTGTAGTTCGATGTTCAGATAATTGGTTTGCAACCCAATTTATTGTTGGTTTGTTGATTCTTATCTCGGTTCAGTACTAGTTTGTTGGTTTCAGAACCAATTCAACCCCTTTGCGTTGATTCAACTTCAGCTCTTCTTGGTTTACCCTATTTTCAACTGTTGCAGTTGAATTTATCAAATTTCCAATGGCTCATCGTTGTATTTTTAGTTGTGCGCTTTTGTGCTAGTATGATTGTCATTCAGCTCATGTCTTAGACTTCACACCTGCGTTTGTTGCTCAGAAGGAGTATCTTGATGGTGAGTGTCGATTCAATAATTCACTGTACTGTCTTAAGCAATCACCTAGATCTTGATTTTAGTATGCTTATTATTTAGGTGGAGCTATTTGCAGTCCTGTTTATAAAATTTGGTAATCAATCCAATGATGTTTCTTATCAAATCATTGGCTGGATCCACCTTTAGTAGCCTTTGTTCCATGCTAACCATTTTTTATCTATATGATTCAACTTGAGGAGGAATGATAGATTGTTACTTTCCTATTGTCCTACTTTTCTGTTATGTTGCCATCTTATTACGTTCTATTTTCCTAATATTGCATTAGTCTACAACATCAATCTAATACTTGTTATTTTTTTGTTTTGATGCTTTTTGAATTCATATTTTGATAACATTTATTAGAAATATAAAATAAATATTTATTAACCATGTATATGGATATATTATTCTATATAGAAGTTACAAAACTAACCATAACCAAAAATTGTGTACAAATTAAGCCTATCCCCATTGTACCGTGTATTGGAAGAAGTATTGTACCATGTACCAAATCGATCCACAATCCGTGTAACATTGTCCTAAACCCAATATAGTTCCATAATCTCCTTCATGCTGTTGCTTCCTTTTTTTTTTATCCCCCCTAAACTCTAATATTCAAATTTTCAAGTTTCAATTGCAAGGTGGCATACATTTGACCCTCTCGGGAGCATCATGTACTAGGCCAAGCTTTTTTACTTTTAAGATAAGGCTATGCATGTTTATATGTGTGATTACTTTGCATAATGGTCTGTTAATCAATTTGAAAATTGATCTCTCTTTCTTGGGTGGTGCAAGAGTTGAGGTTCACACTTTTTTTTGGGGGGTAAATTGAATGTGAAAAATCTTATTCAAGGTGAAGAACTTAACAAAGGGTTGTAAAAGACACGTTTGTGATTGCATGCGCAAGTGGTGCGCCTCAACAAGGCTTTGCGAGGTGGCTTCACCTAGACGCGATTGAGACGTAAGAGACGCATACCACACGGATTAAGCTTAAGGAGCACAGGCACTTGCTTTTTTCGATATTTTGGAAAGGCATAAATATCTAAACTTTAACTTGGAGAAAGAAGCTAGCAAATTTGATCAACATCAATTTTCTAGGGCAGCACCAATGGTTTCAAGATGATCAACTGCTTTTCCACTTGTAGTTGAGTAAGATACAAGGTCAAATGATATAGAGGAGGAAGAGATGGAGGAATATAAATCCAATAATGGTGAAGAAGATGATTGGCTTGGTGATGAGGATTATTTTCAGATCCTTAGGATAGGTGGAGGTGTGAAGTGAATGTTTTGTTGCTTTGAGAGTTCGACTTGTACATTTTCAAATGTAAGGACTTAATATATTATAGGTGGCTGTTAGAATTTGGATGTTAATGCTTTTCAATTTGAATTTTAATATTTCCAAAGTTGGAACTTGTACACTATGGAATTTTTGGATGCTTAGTTGTGACAATTTTTATGCCTTGCTTGCAAGATTTGTCAATGATAAAATATTTGCTTATTATTTACAATATTTGATTTCACTTTGATAAAGCCTTTGCCTCATTTCGCGCCTCTTACCTAGGCTCTAGGACGCCCTTAGTACTTTGGTTTGCTTTGAACCTTAAATAACACTGCACTCTTCTTCTTAAAGAGCTCTTGATTGTTACTACCAGGATAGTTAAAAGAGAACCTGTTTTTACTGCCACTGGTACTATTTGGTACCAGGCCTAGTGGAGGAGCATTCTTCTCATGTGTTCTTATATGTTGTATGCCAACTCTTCATACATGTTTGTTTATGGCCATTTTTCCCTTAGTTGAATAATATTTTTTTTGTAAATTTTCTCATTCAGAAATTTTAATTTCTTGTACCAACTTTCTTTGTGTTTGTTTTATGTTTTTTCTGGGGGTGAGGATTTTTTGATACAGTGGGAATTTCGTTGTTGATTACTTTAGATTTTCCCTAATTTTTTATGTGAATTTTGGGTCTTGCTATAATATGGTCCATATGTAACTCTTGTGACTTGTCTCTTTTCTAAAGTTGCCCTTGTGATGGGGAACAACTTTATTTTCCAGACGAGGAAGAAAAGTAGGAGTAATGGACAAATAGCTTAGTTGCCTACTAATATTCTGCTTTCTGCATACTGTGTAACGTATATCCTTTTTGCATTATCTTATTCTTGCCGATGTTGCAGTCTTGTTCTTGGTGGCGCAATGGAGGGTGATCAAACTTCTTTTGTGACAAGAAGTACATCAATCCTGATATTTGAAGAAGTGTTCAGAAAGTTGCTCACATTCGTGATGGATTCTACTTTCTCTTGGGTCAGGAGTGCTGGTTCTTTATTAATTGCTGAAGGAATTGATTCTAAGCTGCAATATGAATCTTCTATCAACGTGCTCGGAATGGCCCATTTTGCGCTGGAAGTACTTAGTGGTAGCTTCTTTTGCATCAAGTCTTTTGGCAACGAAATTGGGTTGGTTCCAGGTCTTTTAGCCACAATTTGGGTGATTGACTGGGAATGTAGCATGGCATCAGTTTCCAATGATGAGCTTGATGGTGAATCTTCAGAAAAAACCAAGGCCAGGCTGGGTTGTTGTGAATCTGTTCATACTTTTCGATGCAAGATAGGTAATCAATTCTTTAAGAGCCTCAGCACAGATATTAGGCATAGATTGGGAAATGTTTTGATTCAGTCTATCAAGTCTGCCATATTCAAGGAAGAAAAAGTAGACATAGATAAAATGATATCTTTGTGCTGTTCTTGGATGCTTGAAGTTCTTGAATGTCTTTGTCAAGACCAATTTGAAGAACAAATTTTGTTAGACCAGTTTCTGAACAAGAGTGATTTGTGGCCTTTGTGGATTATACCCGATGTCAGCAATGGAAAAAGATCAGCTACCTTAAAAACTGAAAATCTCTCTCTTAAGGTGAGTGGGTTTTGTTTATAATAACTTTTGCTGACATCATTTGGTTCGGTTTGTATTGCTAATTAATTTTTAGTTTTTTTTTTGGTTGAGAATTAATTTTTAGTTAAAAATATGTTTACAATGATCTCTTGTATGCTTTTTGTTCGATTATTATTTGTAGTCTTGATGACTTATTTTTGTTCCCTGTTTACTTCAATGCACCCCCACTTTAACTTCTTTTACACTATGGTGTTTTTAATTTAATATGTGCATGTATTTTTGATAGGTTGACACCATATATATTTACCCTTACTATCATCATGATTTTCCAGCTTTGTGCTTATAAGAAGCCTTTGAATGAACGGTATTTGCGAATTGATTTTTTTATGTGTTGGATACACTGTAGATGGGGCTGCAAGCCTGCGAGGATCATCACTCATCTTCTGTCAATTATGATGGACTTGCAGTTTAGTACTGAAAAGTTAAAATCCATTTTTGAAAATAATTTTACTGTGTATGGTAAGCACCAAAATATCATTTTTATTTTGTAAATTATGACTTGCATGTAATATTGTTATCACTACGAGATAGCCATTGCCCATTTGACGTTTTGGTCATCGCCTGCGGATCAACTTATAATTTATGAATGTTCAGGATAGGCTTCATTCAGGCCTCTTCTATGCTATGACATAATTCCTGCACAATTTATAAACTTTTTGCTTGTCAAAAGGGCTCTTTGGTGAAAAGCTCACTGCATAACAAATAGGTATCACTTTAATTTACCAAGCATGCCACTAATAGTGTTTGTATACTTACTAGACTCTATCAGGCCACTGAATTCTACCAAACATATATATCACGATAAATTTTCAGTTGTTAGATATTATTATAGTAAAATATTGTGAGGAATTCTTTGCATTGAATCCTGAATTAAGAGAACATTACGGTCCATTTTGTTTTGGTTTTAGATTTGCTAATATTTATATTCCTTGAATATATTTTACATTATTCAGTAATAGGTTTCGAATGTTATCTTTCAATTATAGAGATTAGAGCTTGCAGAAGAACTACTACTACTAGTTCGGTAGTACTCAATGGATATTTAGCATAGAGCTTAGGATACAGTGGCGTTAAGGATATAATGTAGGTAGATTTTTTTTCTTCTTTTTGTGTATGAGGATGTACCTCGTAAAAGAGACCATTAAGTTTTGGTTTTGCTGAAGTATGTGACTTGACTAAAAATATGCACGCCCAAGTTGTAGTAATAGCTCGGTTAAGTCTGAGGTGGAATCCATAGGGAATTAATGTGGATATTTTAAACAAAAGATCAATAGAGACAATGAGTGGTTGTGAAGAGTGTGTGCTAGAGAAAATATAAAGTTCTTAACAATAAAGAAAAATCACTCTTTAATTTGGGGATCCGAACATGTGCACGAGTGTTTTGAGTGCAATATTTGTGCAACAGTGATAGCTCAGTTAACCTCTGTGTCAACATCAAGTTAATCGGAAGATGATTGATTTTATGTTAGAGAGCTTAGCTCCGACATTATGCATAGAGTTATAAACATTGAATATGCCAAGATAAAGATTGTCATGAAGACCTAGCTTGAGTACTTGTAGGGAATCATAAGCATCACTTATAACAAGAATTAACTTGTCAATAGGTGGTCAAACAATTATACAAAGTACTTTAGCTTTGCTAGATACATTCAATCATTTAAAAATTATATGAAACAATTAAGCATAATAGAAATTGTACAAATATATTACTCAAATAAAGTATAACAATCTATTACCCTTCACTAAAGAGTGGATGAAAAATTACTCACTTTTCATGGCCACCAGTGAGCTAAAAAAGTGAGAGAATCTCATCTTTCTAAGTAAAGAAAACTACAATTATAAAAGATAAATACAAGTTCTTTCTTCGCTAAAGAGTGAATGTAATTCTACTCGCCTTTCAAGGAAAGTTAGAAAAGTGAGTGAAGTTCATCCCTTCAAATGAACAAGATACAAATTACAAAAGACAAGTACTATATTTCTTTTTCCACTAAAAAATAAATGAAATACCACACACCCATCATGGCTTCAGGAGAAGTTAGAAAAGTAAGAGAAGTTCATCCCCCTAAGTGAAGAAGATTATTTCCAAAAAAAATATTGAGGATAAGAAATGTAAACATTACAAAAATTAGAGAGTATTTGAGAGAGGAATGCTTCTAAGAAGTCATCCATGCATGTTTCTACTTAAGGACTAGATGGGAGGGGGTATTTATAGAGGGAGATGGGTGGCAAGAAGGACCAATTTCAAGGCTTGGATTCAAGAGCAAGAAATGCAGCTTTGGAGAGCAGCGTCTGGACGTTGGCAGTGCCGTTTGGACAGTGCAAACTCTTTGGAATCCGTATCTTCGGGCAAAATTTTGCATTTGGAGATGGGTGCCCGAACGGTGGAGGAGGGTCCGGACGGTGGTCTCTAGCAGCTGGTCCAAATTTTCTTCCATACTTTGCGGCCTTCAATCAGGAATCTCATCTGGACGGCGGCAGTGGGACGATGACAGTCTACTAGAAGCTTTTGTCTTTTCCACTTTGCTACCCCCCAAACTTCACCAAATTGCTCATTGTCAAGGATCAAAATATCGTTTTTGTGTATTGTTTCGGTCACTTAGGAAATGGAAACGTTTCGACCCGTTTCGGAAGCATAATAAAAAAAATAAACAATTTAAAAATTATTTTTCTAAAACATTGATGAAAATATATCAAAGTATCTTGAAATATCTTAAAATATTTTAAAACAATTGTGCAAATGTATTGAAATATTATAATACATTTAAAAATATTATGGAATACCTCGAAATATCAGAATTTCGATTTCATCATTGTGTCATTTTGGTCTTCTTGGAAATGAAAACATTTTGACCGTTTCGAACGATATTTTGATTCTTGCTCCTTGTACCCTGTACTTTAGGTTAGCCTCCATATTTACCCTATACAATTAACATCACATAATTCATAAACAATTAAACATGAATTGCACGTAATAAACCCTCTTAATGTATATTGAAATGTCACTTTTAAGGGTTAATCAGTATGTAAGTATTAAAAGTACGTCATCTCTAATAGCTTAAACATTTAGAGTAGACGGTAGTTTAAGAGGTTTGAAGTGGAGTGGATGCTCAAGCGAACAGTGGGATTTGAAATTCAAAAGATATTGGCTCTTAATCAAGCCGTATCTGAAAAAAGAAGATTGTATCCATTGCACAAGGTTACTGTTAATAGCGGGTCTAAGAGAGGTCTGTGGTAGGCAGTCTTACCCTGATTTTGGAGTGGCTGATTTCCGCACGCAAGATCCGTGACGCATCATTGGAGCGGATGAGCACATGCCATTGTTTTAGGTCCAACCTTTCATATCCTGTCAAATTTCACTAACTTTATTTCCCTTAGTTTATTCTGACAGACTGACATTGAGCTAGTTTTCGCAAAAGTGTGTATGTGTGTTCGACTGTTTTGGTGACTTCTTCCCCTTTTTTATTTTGTTTATTGGTTTCGGGGTTGGGGGTTTGGATTATTTTCTCTTAGGCATTTTGGCAACATCTGGTTGTCAAGTGCTGCCTCTTGTAATTTTGTCATTTCAGGATCATATTCACTGCAAAAGGGTATTATTTCTTATCACAATTGTATTCTGAATTTACCGGAATCTCATGTTCAGTCTTTTATATTGTATGATGCAAAGTGTGTAGCTTATTAACTGCAAATGTCTACTGTGTTGAAGGAATCCAAGAATCAAAAATTTGTTGCTTTAATTGACGAGCTTATATCCAAAGTTGGGTTTGATAGAGTTGTTGCTGGGTTTGTTTCATACATTCTCCCGTCTTCAAATAAGGAGCCAACTAACGAATTGACAACCTCTCGATCTCATTATTCTCGTGCCTGGCTTGCTGCTGAAATGTTGTGCACGTGGAAATGGCATGGTGGGAGTGCTATTAGTTCTTTCGTACCTGTACTGAGGGCATACGCAACAAGTGAAAAGTACTGTCCAGAGGACGGCTTGTTAGATTCTATTGCCACCATTTTGCTTGACGGTGCTCTTGTCCAAGAGCCAATTGGTGAATCCAATCTATATCCTATTTCATGTGATGAAGTGGAGAATATTGAAGAACCCTTTTTGAGAGCTCTTGTATTGTTGTTGTCTTCTCTCTTTAGAGATAATGTATGGGGAAAGGACAAAGCTACTTTCTTATTTAAACTGCTTCTAAATAAACTTTTTGTTGGTGAGGCCATGAACTTGAATTGTTTGAGGATTCTTCCCCCAATTATGGGTGTTCTTATTATACCACTGAGCATTGGATCCAGTAAAGATGTTCAACCTGATTCTTTTGGGGAAAAAGAGTTGCATGATACAATTACGGACTGGCTCCGGAGAATTCTGTCATTCCCACATTTAAATGCATGGCAAACAGGAAAAGGTAAACAAAAGCTGCGTTCAATTAATGGTAGATATTTGTAACTGATACAATATAAATTTTACAATATATGGTTGACCCAAGAGCTTGTCGGCACTTCAACAGTTCACCCATAAGTTCTTTATGGATCTTTATGTGAGATGGTATAAAGACCTTAGTTACATTTCCAGTATTCCAACCCTCGCTTCTAGGCCTAGGGTATATCCTTTGTTTGGAGCATCAAGTAGCTAAATCTACTTCCTCGCTAATTTCGTACTCGCAGTAAAGGGCCATTGGTGGTTGTTCTTTCAGTTTCTTCTATTTGTATGTTCTGTATGTTTTTGTATGTATTTTTTTCAATGTTCTGCTCTTGTTGCTATAATCTGATTTTATCTTGCAGATATGGAAGATTGGTTCCTGTTGGTTATTTCCTGTTATCCCATAAGTGCAACGGGTGTCATGAAAGAGTTGAACCAGGAGAGATATATCAGCTCTGCGGAGAAAGCACTTCTGCTTGAATTATTTCGGAAGCAGAGGCATAACGCTGGTTCATTAGCTGCAGTTAATAAGCTGCCTGTTGTACAGATTTTGTTATCAAAGTTAATTTTAGTTGCAGTCGCATATTGCTGGAAGGAATTTGTTGAAGATGATTGGGAGTTTGTTCTATATTATCTGAGACGGTGGACTGAAGCTGCAGTTGTAACCATGGAGGAAGTTGCTGAAAATGTGAATGATGCTATCATAAACAGCTCCACCTCTAGTGATTTGGAAGTTATTCTAAAGAAGCTTGAGCATGCTGTGCTGGTTTCAAACCCTTCTCCAATGAAACTTGCAAGAAATGCTCTGATTACATTTTCGGCATTTCGCGGACTTGTTGGACAGAATAGCAAAGGAGATGCAGAGAATTCGAATCCCTGGAGGACTGAGAGATGGGAGCTCATCAAAGATCGAATTCTAGAGGGCATTCTTCGTCTATTCTTTTCCACTGGTGCTGCTGAGGCAATGGCAAGTTCCTGCAGCCACGAGGCTTCATCTATTATAGCATCCTCCCGACTTGATCAACTTCACTTCTGGGATTTAGTTGCTTCCAGTGTTGTGGAGTCCTCTTCAAATGCTAGAGATAAGGCTGTAAAATCAGTTGAAATTTGGGGACTAAGCAAAGGGCCAATTAGCTCTTTGTATGCCATCCTCTTTTCCTCCAAACCAGTTCCTTCTTTGCAGTTTGCTGCTTATGTCATTCTGTCAACAGCACCTGTATCACACTTGGCATTTGTAAGAGAGAGCACATGTTTCGTGGATGGGCATACCGATGGTAACCAGGATTCTTGTCGTATTGACTTTTCTTTAGAAGAAAATGTTCATCTGAGGGAGGAAATTTATTTGATGCTTGAAAAATTACCTTATGAGATTCTTGAAATGGATTTGGTGGCACCTGAACGGGTAATTAATGCTTAGATCAGTAGTAATATTTTTACTCAATAGGGTATGATGATTGAAGTCATATACTGATCACTACTACACATTTCAGGTGAATGTGTTCCTTGCTTGGGCTTTGTTTCTGTCACATCTACTATCCTTGCCATCGTCATCACCTGCAAGTGAGAGATTGATTCAATGCATACAAGATTCTGCTAATTCAACAGTATTGGATTGCCTTTTCCAGCATATTCCAGTGGAACTGTTCATGGTTCCCAGCTTAAGGAAGAAAGAATTGGAACCTCCCCCTGGGGTATCAGAAGCTGCAACTGCGGCAACATGTGCCATCACAACCAGTTCAGTGCTCTTTTATGTAGAATCTCTGTGGCCTGTTGGACCAGAGAAAATGGCCTCACTTGCTGGTGCAATATATGGTCTGATGCTGCGCATTCTCCCTGCTTATGTTCGAGGATGGTTTACTGATATACGTGATCGTTCAATATCATCTGCAATCGAGTCTTTCACAAAAGCATGGTGTAGCCCACCTTTAATCACAAATGAACTGTCACAGGTTTGTGTAACTCAACTTTTTGGACCCCTGAACCCACCCTCTTATTGCTTCTGTACACTTTAACAAACTGTTATAGAAGCTTAGGCTTGTTGTCCATTATTTATCTTGTGAAAGACGCCCGTTATTGGATGTCATATCTGCCCTATTTCTTTCTGTGAATGCTTCATGGAATTACTGTGGAATTTTCTGAATGCAGATCAAGAAAGCCAGTTTTGCTGATGAAAACTTTTCAGTTAGTGTAAGCAAAGCAGCCAATGAGGTTATTGCGACCTATACAAAGGACGAGACAGGAATGGATTTAGTAATTCGTCTTCCTGCATCTTACCCACTACGACCTGTGGAGGTAGATTGTACAAGGACCCTAGGCATTAGTGAATTGAAGCAGAGGAAATGGTTAATGTCAATGATGTCATTTGTTCGCAATCAGGTATTTCCTATAGGCATCAGTTGGTCGTGCATGTATTGTGTGTCATGTTTATCTCTTTTCAGCTATGCAAAGGTCCAATGCACTGCAAAAATTTTATAATTCATGAAGTAACCTGGTTACGGTGATTCATGTGGACCCATTAAGGCTTCAGCGTGCATGGAAGATGGGTTAGAGAATGAGAGAACAATTATGATAAGAGAATGGAGATTTAGCATAGTTTTAAAACCCAGCCCAGACATGAACCTAGGAAAGTGACCAGTTCACTGGGTCAATGGTTCAACCATTTCAATGGGTCAATGGTTTAACTGGTGGGTTACTGATTGGAAAGATAATATAATAAAAAAATAAAAAAAAATTATTAATGATAATAAATAGGATAATCACAATAATTATATAAATAACATGTTTAATGTTTATTAAATCAAACAAAAATTCAAAAATCATCAAACATATATCCAATGCAAATGAAAATAATTAAAAACCCATATTCAAATTGAATGCACAACTCAAATTTAGAGAGATATACTCTCATATGTGGAACAGATCCCATAGATCAAACTCCAATATGTTAATATGAGATGTAATCTAACATTTTAATTGCTCATTAGATTGCACAGAAGACAAAGCTGGGGCCCTAATGGTAATTCCAATATTCCACCGTTTTGGCCATCTGATCCACCTAACCAACAACTGAGAGAGAGAGAGAGAGAGAGAGAGAGAGAGAGAGAGAGAGAGAGAGAGAGAGAGAGATGTACCTGTTGGCTGTAGTGCTGTGTAAAGTGAAGGTCGCAGAGTCCTCTCACTCCTGCTTTCGTAGTTAGCTCGACAAATGGAAAATTAGGGCATTTTGGCCCCAAAACTTGGGTTTTTATAGTATTTTACATGACCTGTCCGGTTTGTGAAATTCCGTCCGGTTTGAACGATTTAGTAAAAAACCGCCTGGTTCAGTGGGTTATAAATGATTCTTTTGCTCAACCGATCTAATATGATAACTGGCCCAGTTTGGCATCCAGTTCACCAGGTCAACTCGTGGGGCCTGGCCTGGTTTTAAAACAGTGGGTTTTAGTGCAAAGGCAAAGTGAATTTGGATGCATAGTCGGAAGGAAAGCATAAAACCAAAACTAATTGGTGAATTATAGAATATCTAGATTAGTGTGTCTAGTTGAAGTCCACAACCTATGTGTCTGTATGCAACAAGCACTGTTTCTCATATAGGGTCAAGCCCTGTTTCTTTCCTATGCATTGTTAGATCTCCAGTGCTTTTTAAACCTTGTTTTGAGTACATTGGTTTCACCAGGAATGTTGCAGGACTTGATCTAGTCAAGAAGTATACTTTTGAATGAGCTCTAACCGATTCTCATAATCTTTTTGGCTCTAGTTGATTTTGAACAATCTAGTACTCAGGGTAGGTGCTGATAATCTTGTTTTACTTGCGTTATACAGAATGGAGCCCTAGCTGAAGCAATACGTACATGGAAGAGCAATTTTGACAAGGAATTTGAAGGTGTTGAGGAGTGCCCAATCTGTTATAGTTTTATCCACACTGCAAACCATAGCCTTCCCCGGCTTGCTTGCAAGACCTGCAAGCACAAGTTCCATTCAGCCTGCCTATATAAGTGGTTCTCCACTTCTCACAAGTCAACTTGCCCCTTGTGCCAGTCTCCATTTTGATCTCAACATTTGAAGGCACAATATTTGTTTGTAACTGGAATTGCTGGGGACTTGGACTTGAGTTCGGGATTTGACTGCAACTTGGCACTTTGAGCTAAATGCCGCCAAGATGACTGAATTGAATGAGTTGGGGCGTACATTAGCAAAACAAGCTGTAAGCTCTCTCTCTCTCTCTCAAGTCCTATTGTTGTGCACTTCTATGGTCAATGAAGTTTGGTTAGTGTGTTAAAATGACCAGTGAAGCACACTAAACTTGGGCTGTCCCCCGTATGCCTGACATTTTGAAATTGTTAGTTTGCTTTCATATTAATGATTCATGTCGAGGTGATGGATCTTAATATGTATCAAATATATTGATCGACTTCCTTAGTTATGTTTTAGAATTGCCTAGCCTGTGTTAACTGAGGTATACACATGCACTTTCTGAGATCATGGTGAATTTCTGCAGATTCATACTAATTGGAAAATATTTATCTTCTGAAAAGCAGCTTTGATGAGGTGTTGTTTCAGA